ACACACACACACACACATATATATATATATATATATATATATATATATATTATGTACTCTTGACCCTTGAACAACATAGGTTTGAACTGCACAGATCAACTTGTACATGGGTTTTTAAAAACAAATACCTATACTGTTTTTGATCTGCAGTTGGGAGTCCACAGAGTGGAGGGCTAACTGTATGAATTGATCTGTGCCATTTAATATAGAAGATTTTTGTATCCATTGGGCATCCTGGAACCAATCCCCCTTGGATACCAAGTGTGGTTCAGTTGTTGAGGAGTCAAAAGTTATTTTCGGATTTTTGACTGCATGGGGAGGTTGGTGCCCCTAACCCCTGCATTGTTCAAGGGTCAACTGTATATTATAATATGTATAATAATAGAAGTATATACATGTTTTTAGTTATAGCATAAAGGAGGGAAGACTGTTTAGGGAATAGGGTCAGAAAAACTTGAAGAACACATGCTAGTTTTCAGGGATAATACCCAAAGAATGGCCATGCTGGCCAGAGGACCAGGGCATATGAATGAGTAGTGCAAGATCTGAGTGTCTTCTCTGTAGTTTGTAAGGGAGAACCCAAGTTAAATAAAAGGAGTTGTATTTTTAAAGTAATAGTAACATCTTTTGTACCAGGCTAAAAGGATATTTTTTAAATGTTTGTCTGTGATCCCTGCAGACAACATTTAAATGATACAGAAGGAAATCCTTACTTCAGCATTACCTTACCCATCTTCTAGAAACAGTCATGAGTCAGACTGCCTTGGGCTTATACCCCATCCCTCGGCTAGCTGTGTGACCTTGGGCCAGCTACTGAATCTCTCTGGAGTCGCCAGTCAAATGGAGAATAATACCTCCTTCACAGGGTTCCTGTGCATTGTAAATATTAGCACACATGTACGTGGAACAGTGCCTGATGTGTAGTATGTGTTCATCATTAATTAGTAGAACAATTGGAAGGACTGGGCTGTGGGTCAGTAACTGTAGCAAGCCTATGATGGTGAGCTTTGGATCTCAATCCAGGAGCTGCTCCAAGTGATTCGTGTTCACAGGCATGGTGCCCATAAACAGACTCAGTCTAAGAAGGAGTTCAGCAAATTTGCAGCACAGTTTTTCATGTTCTGTATTTGTACAGATGTTGGGTATTACCTTAGTCAAACTGAACAAGCCAGTTCCCACGAATTTTGGACAGTGGATTCGTTTTCATAATGAGACACAATTAATATAATAACAACCCAAGAATTTGGGATTACTCAGATCCTATCCAGATGAGCTCCCTTGCTCCACACAGGTTTCGTGGGCAATCTTTACATAAACACAAAGCTTTGTTGTTGGCTTGGGTTTTGGCCCCAAATACCCTTCATATGGGCCATGAGGCAGACAGTTCAAATCTCACTGATCTTGAGTGTGGATAGCCCCCATAGCAAGTACTGGAAGTCGTGCCCTAGAGGTGAAAGCAAGCCTTTTCTGATAACATCACTTCTTCTCTCACTGCTAGAGAGATGGCGATATCACTGGAGGGAACCCAAGGCCTGTCTATTAAGCCACTGGGATTAACAAGAAAAATAAGCCTGAGGAAACATTGACCTCTGTAGGAGGTGAAGCCCAGTTCCTGTGGGCCCCTCTCCCTCCCAGTCTTTACCAGGCCTTCCCTCCCTCTCTCCTGCAGGAAGACTGCTGCTCTGTGTTAGTTTCCAGGACTTCGTTTGGAAGCGTGGTCCCAGGGGCAGAACTTCCCAAGTGGTTAAGAAGTCCCAGTGTTCAGACAGTGAGGTGAACTTTCCTCAGTTAGATTTCTCCTCCAGCAGGGCTGTGTTTGAAACCCCTCTTTTAGGGGCTTGTCCTTCTACCTGAGAAAGATTTTGAGCCAGGTATCCCAGAATACCTCGCTCTCCAGAACAACACCTCCTGCTGTTTGCTAATGGATGTGGTCTTTCCTCTGGGCTGAATGGTGCAATTCAAGATTTGGCCTTTTTGGATAAAACAGGAAGAACAGGTGTTTGGCTGCCAAGATTCCAGGACATCTGACTGCCCCAACATATGTAATGAAGTTCTCCATAGCACCATCCTAGCTCATTAGTTTTCCACTGGGGTCTGAGGACAGAGTATCATAGCTTCTTTTGTTCTCTTTGTAGACCTTGGTTAGGTTAGGGGCACTCAAGAAGGTTACTATCTACCTCAAGGAGGTCAAATCTATCAAAATCATACTCAGCAGTTCCAATAGGCAGTGGGGGCCACAGCAGGTTGGCTCTTAAGGAAAATTTAAACATGTTACTGGAATACAAGCACGGACAACCAAATTGTTTATAGATAGTGATATTCTGATTCCTAAAATGGTAGGAATTGCTTGTAACTCTGAATCCATTTTCCTATAGAAAACACTTTTAGAAATGACAGTTAAATCCTAGACTAATGCACATAATTCTTGTATAACACTTAACGTATCTAAAGTATTGTAATAACAGTACCACTTCAATGATACCAAATCCTGTTTTATAACTCAGGCTTATTTTGGTGAGAGAATTCATGTTGAGCTCCAATTTAAGATCCTAACATGTATTTCCCATGGAGCTGTAGGGCATGGGTGGGCCAGAAAAACTGTTAGTCTAGTTTTAGGGTTATGATTCACTGTTATGTCAATAGGAGATCCCACTTACTACCCAGTCCCACTGCCCCTTACACTACATACCCACCACTCACTACCCGTACCCTAACACACACACATGCATGTGAGCACACACACAAATGCCCTATTTATTAGAGTCTCTTTGGCAACCTAGCAGTCATAACATTAGTGAATTTTCTGCCCTCAATTTACAAATGGTGGGGAAATAGGCAATTCCTGTTCTTGCTACAGTAGATAAGATTTGATTTTTCCCTCTCAGGTTAAATCTATGAGGTTTTCCCTTGTAAATGTTGATACACATACAGTGATTCAATTCTTTTATATGATGTACTTTATTTTTTATTTATTTATTTTTTTTAAGCTGAGCCATCCTGCCACCTGTTGGCAGCTCAGCGGCTGCTCAGCTCGGGCTGGGAATCGAACCGCTGTTGCTCAGAGCTCAAACTCTTGAGTGAGCTCTTAACCAACTGAGCCACTCGGCCGGCCCTATATGATGTACTTTAGGTACTTTATGTTAAACAGGTGACTGTAGGCTGACACAGTAACTCAAATATCATTGTAAAATATAGACAAAACTGGTCATTTTATCTTGGATTAGTTTACATTTTGATCATATAGTTGTTGAAAATGTATAATTTCTAAATTTATTGCATATTCAAAAGAAAACAGAGTTTAACTCTTCCAAATTGACAGAGCTGTCAGTGTGCCCAAGCAACTAACTTGTACCTTGCCAGAAAACAGAAAAATCTGTCAAAATGTTAAGCTTTGTGTTGGGAGGAAAAGACCCTTGTGGGTGATATGTTTCATTTAAATTATTAATCATTCTGCTTCTCTTGGAAGAGCAAAGTAGGAATGAGGAAAGCGTTCCAAGCTAATATCATACGTCTTTTCTTTCATTAAGTTACTTATTTAGAGTAAGCAATGGGGACACACTGGTGCTTTCAGTCATTTTTTTAATGTTCAATAGTCTCAGGCTTTCCAAAATGAAAAGTCTGAATAAAATCAAACCTTTAGTCCATTGCACAGTGTGAGTTACTACTTGGCATCCAATAAATATGTGTGGAAGATGCGATGAGGAAACACCAGGATTCTAAGCAGAAGGTACCTAAAAGTACTCTAACTGCAGTGTATACATCATGACGATATTTGTGGCAGGCCAGACATAGCTTAATGCATGCAGACCTGGATCTGGGTTACAAAATGTCATCTTTACAATTGCTTGGCAAGATGTCAAGAATGAGAAAGTGAAAAGATATTAGAAGATAAAGGCATAGAAATGGATTTGCTTGGTAGTATGAATCATTTCCCCCCCAGGATTATGTCAGGTCTGTATTCTTTATCGGTCACCATTAACTGAGTCAAATCTCCTTCCAAGTGGGGAGTTTCTTTCTTTTTTTCAACTTATTTACCTTTTGGAAACTACATAGATTTGTACTGCCATTCGAACACAATACTCAGCAGAAAAATCAGTGGTTTAAATATTTTAAACAGAGATAGGTCAAGCACATGTTACAGAAACAGGTGGGAATAACCACAGCATCAGAACAAAACCTCTAGTGCGGATATGCTGTGTTCACCACTATCCCCTTTAAATTCCAGGGAAGACCTCAAATTCCATTGGAGACTCCAACCTACAATGGGTAGCTATGGCGTTGCCGGCATTCTTTTCTCTTGTAATTGGATTTGGTTTTGGAGCCTTATACTGGAAGGTAAGTGTTCCTATTTTTTTTCCTTGATCAAAAACATTCTGAACTTATTTGCTCTTACTATATTTTATATATATGATTAACAAACTGCCCTTTTCTGAGAAAGGATCTTACCAAGAAAGCAATAAGACAGGTGAAGTTCAATCTAATCTCAACAAAATTGAAATCTTAGAAAGGTTTCTCCCCATTGCTTACTATACTTTGGAGACAACTTTTGTAGCTGACAATGCACACTTAAGAAATGGCAACTGGTTTTAATAGCTTGAACTAAATATAAAAAGGAAGAAAATATGCTGAAAGTCATATGACATGCTTAGAGGCAAATAGAAGTGCCATTTGTGTTATATGCTATTTTGCATTTCTACCTTTTGTTCTCTTTTTATTGAAGCCTGTCTAAAATTTTAAAATGTGCTAACTCATTGTGACTCAGCTTTTTGAAATTTGTTTTGAATTTGATCCCTATTTAAATCTTTCAGTTTCTTTATTACATTTTTGCCTCCAACATCCTAAAAATGTTGAGTCAATACTACCATGCATTTTTCATAATTTCTTACTGGAAAAATATTTTACATGCTGCAATGTGAAGAAAATAGTTATTGGAGCTATTGACATAAAAGACGAAAGTGGAGACCATTTACCTCTTAAATGTTATACTAGTCATTGATATGTTTACAATATGTGTCTTTGTTCTTTTCCCAGAAGAAACAATCAAATCATACAAGAGCAGTTGAAAATATACAGATTAATGAAGAGGATAATGAGATAAGGTATTTTGTTTTCACTAAATATGTGCACAATTAATCCTGACATGGCTGTTTCACATAATGTGCACATGCTTATTATAACTTCTCTAAGAAGTTGTTGACTCTCAGAATGGCAGCTCCAACCAGTGTCTTCCAAGTCTTCATCCACCTCTCACGTTTCTGACCTCTCACTCTCTCTTCAGTTTTACATCTCCAGTCACCTATACAATATTTATGTCACAACCCTTCTTAGGGTGTCAGAAGTGGTCCTCTTTGCTTTTTTTTTTTTCTTTTCTTTTTTTTTTTCTGTAAGCAGAATCTTGCTCTGATTCCTGATCACAGAGCTCAGTAGGCATGTTGGCTTATTCTCCTTTTCCATGCTATTACCAAGACATACTGATTTCTCTCTCAGAGTCTCTTACAAGTTTAGTTCTTTCTTTGGCAATAGTGATTATCTCTGTCCATATCTTTGCTATGTCTTGACTGAGTTGCTACCTCAGAATCTTTCTTTTCCTTAGTCCTTCTACACTCCACCTTTGTCTCCTTCTTCCTTAAACCCTGGTTCATAATATCACTTCCTAGTCAAGAAGCTTTCTGTGGTTTGTCTCTTATATATTTGATATATTTGACTTCACTCTAGCTTTCAGAGCCCTAACTTTTCCCAACCCATTTGGCATTTCTTCAAAGCCAAATATAAATGTTGTTTTAAGATACCATTCCATTTACTGTAGCTGACCCTGGTTACTTTTTTGCCTTATGCCATATTGCCATAAAATCTAATACTTTGATTTTATATTCAGTTATACTTTTCATTTGGCATGTTACTTTCTCTCATATCATGCATATGCATACATATTTACATATTAAGTGCATATAAGAATTTTTAGTATGTGTATATGCATATACATAGAGAATTTTAAAAACTACTTGGGGGAACTAAGTTGAGGCAGATAATGTCTTCTCCCTTCCCTGTAGTAATACTTATGAAGACAAGCTTTCCACTCAATTTTGTAATCTTTTGCTACTGTATTTACAGAAATAACTGCTTTTTACAATGCCCAGATCATGATGACTTCAAGAATCTCTGTACAAAAGCAAATAAGCATTTTTTTCTTGTTGTTTTTCAGTATGTTGCAAGAAAAGGAGAGAGAGTTTCAAGAAGTGTAATTGTGGCTTGTATTAACACTGTTACTTTCGTACATTGGTAAGTTCTTAGAATTCAAGCTGAAAGATTTAACAAGAACTATACAGCACCTTAGCCACCAAAATGTAGATACAAAATGTATTAAGGCTTCTATTATGCTGACATCAGTTTTTTAACTGAAAAGCTGTTTCATAATGAAATTGTGCATATCTGATCCATTGTGTGTTCTCAAGTTTTGAAAGGCAAAGCAGTATTAGCCCTGATTAGTGGATTAATCTTTTATGGGAGATACGTAAAAAACTAACAGTTGAATATTTACTATTTTTGAGGCCAGAAAATAAATTACACAAAGGGAATAGAGTAAATTAGGACTAGAATAAAAATATTGTTAATAGAGGAAGAATAAATAAAACCACTTTTGATTAGGTGTGACTACTATAACATGATAGAAACTAAGTGTTTCATTTGTTAGATGCTGAAACAAGTGAAAACCGAAAACATTTCCCTACCATTTTAAGAAAAAGAAGAAAAGGTCAAAATATCTTACAGTCAGGAGAGGGAAATTGTCAAGGCAAAGTGCTACCTGTCACACGACTGTTAGTCGTTGTGCCTAATCACCGTCCAGAGCTCAGGACACACTGACTATAAGCCAGGGACAGATACCTGTTGTGGTTGCGTGGCTGTGTGGAGGGCTTGTGGGAGAAAGGAGAGTAAGAAAACAGGGCCAGAAGGCACCAGTGTTCCTATCTCCCTCCCCAGCTCCCAAGCTCAGGTAATGTTGAGAGAGTGCCTCGAATGGCACTCGCCTGATCCCACATCCATTCGTGCTCCTCTCACCTTCACTTCTGCTAACTGGCAGTTAGTTTTGGTATGTCCATGGACCCCTGTGCACATATAGAGGGGTATGAGTGTTCACTCATCCTCCTAACTCTCCGGTTCTTCCCTCCTGGTCAGAGGATCACTCACGCTCCTAGATTATTACAGATGTGGTCAGTGGTGATTTGGGCCTTTTCCTGACAGTTCACTGTCTTCCAGCTTTCACTTCTATCCCAGATTCAGTTGAAACTTCCCCAGGAAAACTGGGTCCTAGAGCCTCTTGCCTCCTCCAGGAGCACTCGTTCAACAACCCCAAATAACATGATACAATAATAATTATGTCTCATATTTCTCTAACACTTGAAGCCTGCTACTGCACAGACTTCCTTTTTACCTTTAATCATGCTCTAGGTCACTATGTCCAAAGCATTAATCCTAGCTTCTCTTCAAGCTCATTTGTCCTATCAAATAATGTAAACTAACACACACTTCCTGCAACCCTTTATCTTTTCTGGAGCCATATTCCCTAAGCTGAAATCATTGTTTTTTCCTAGTGTGTCTCTGCCCTTAACCCCAATGCAAACCTCATCTTATCTTATCGTATCTTCCCCGTCTGCCATTTCAGTCCCCTGAAGCCATCCACAAATCACACATTAAATGGTTAAGTCTTAAAGGCTCAAGTAATGGCTTCTGTTGTTTGGATTTTGGATTGCATGGCAGGGATCCTGCTTTGGCACACAGGTCTTTCATCTTGTGGTTTTTTAATTGTGACATTTGTCCTGTGACATTTGGAGGGTGGATTATGGTGAAAAAACTCAGGGCACTTGTTTAAAGGGAAAAAAGATGACATTTTAAAGCAACTGTAGTAAGCAACTTATGCAAATGTCTGCTAGTCAGGGAACATTCAACGACAGGAACTGGGTCTGTCAGATTTCTTGTTGTATCTCCTCACAAGGCCCTCCTCACCTGTCACCTGTGCATTGTAGGCTCTCACTAAATGTTTGCTGAAGGAACAACTGAGTGAATGAAAAAACCCTAAGTGAAAGTTTAGCCAAGTGGTAAGAAGATAGGTAGATCTGCTCTACAACATTATGCCTATAGCTAACAATGCTTGATTGTGTACTTAAAGATGTGTTGAGGGTAGCTCTCACATTAAGTGTTCTTGCCTAAATAAAAATAAATAAATCTTTAAAAAGTGAAATAGGGTTTATTGTTATCTTGTGTGTGCATATGCATGTTTAATTTGCTGATTTTGGTCAATACTTATAAAATACTAACGTATGAGTAGGGCATGACAGTTACTTACAGAGCATTTTGTGTCCTCTTCTAAACCATAAGTTCTTAGAGGGCAGGATTTGTTTCTGAATTTCATTTTGGAATCTCACCAAACTCTATGGCTTATTCTTTGTGCATATTAAGTGATGAATAAATATTTGTTGAATACATGAATGGAGATGAATGAGTGTCTCAGAGTATTGCAATAATGTAAGTATAAGATTTATGGAAATAAAAACAAATTAGACTTCCACATGTAGAATAAATATGTAAGTCAAATGCCGAAGAATAGGAAAAAAGGAAGAAAAAGGAGCCAGCTCATTAACATGAATCTGCAGACCCCAAACTTAAAATGTTTATCATTTGTAATAACTTGTTGAGTACCCATTGTATAGAGTAAAACCTTTTGCTTGGCCCTGTACCAAAACAGGTTTAAAACTTCCAAGGAACTTTAAGTATAATTTAGGGAAAGAGATGTGGTAGAGAGAAAGGTTTGGGAGAGCAGACAATGACGTGGTAGGAGAGGAAATCTGCCCAAAAAATCAGAATAACAGTAGTAAAAAGTACCACAATAGAAATGAAATGTGGAATTGTAATTATATATTTTAAAAATTAGACATTATTTGGATTATATTCACTTTCTTGATTAACAAAAATGGGGAAAATACAGAAAATGGCAGATTTATGTCAAGAATATCTCCCTGAAATGGAAGTTTCACCAACTAAAACTAATTAAATCAGGGCAAATATGGGAACACAAGAAAAGATGGAATCATTAGTTCTCCAAAGGAAATAACCTATAATTGGAAAATGAAGAGAAGGGGGAGTTTATTTTAAATAAAAGAAAAGAACATGGAAGGAATGTAAGATAATGAACTAGAAACAAAAGAAACTGCCTGTGAGAGGACATATACTAAAGCTGTGTTTATTTGACATCAAACATGAAAAATAAAAGTTAAAAAACCACTTGGTCAACTAAGCTGATTCTGAGTATCCATATGTAGTATGCCACAAGAATTTTTCATTTATAGGGTTGTGTGTAGCACAGTTCAAAGGAAAGAAATAAAATAGACAATATTACAGGAAAATTTTGCTGTTCATTCTTCCCACAAACTCTAGTAGGTGCATTTTTTCAGGCCAAGATTAATATAACCTAGTTGTATCCTCCAACTGCTTATAGCCTACAAAAGGAAATAGGACCTATGCATAATACCCTATTTTAAAAAGGAAACTAGAAGTTTACAAAGTTTGAAAAGCAACAAAAGGAGCTTACAAGGAAAATGCAAGGAGATCAAAGGCAAGCTCACTGCATATGGCTCTACAGGATGTGCCCAGAGCAGAGCTCTAGACTTTGGTATGGACGGCATCCCTTAGAATGGTACCACACGTACCCATGTCGCCTTATTTGAAGGGAGAGAGGAATCACTACTACAGGAGAAAGACTTCACTGTGTAGGTGATGGAGGTGGCATTGATACTGAGCTAGGTGTTGGATGATTGGCACAATTTTATTAGCAGTAGGGAAGGGGTAACCCAGATGCTGCCCATGGCCTAAGTCAGGGAAGACAAAAGTACCAACTGTGTCCCGGAGTCAGTGTGTCCGCTTGGACTCCAGTGGAGCTCACACAGAAAGAGTTAAAGCACTGAGAAGAAAGGGTGGAGATCAGTTTGAAAGATTCCAAGTATAGGACTTTCGCTCTATTGAGTCACATAACGAGCTGTTGGAGGGTTCAGAAAAGGCGTGAGTGATACAATCAAAGCGGAGTTTTAGGAAAAGAATGAGATATCGGTGAGGCCAGATAAACAGGAGTAGTGGGGTCAGGGATCTCAGGCCACTTAGGAGGCCAGTCTTTCAGACAGTAAGAGAACAATGACCCGAATGAAGGTCAGGGCCATAGGAACAGGAAAGCATGGACCACTTGGGGGACACTGCAATAAAAGCATCAACAATGCTAGTTACTGATGGGATGTGACGCTTGACATTGCAGGGAGTGCTCAGGGGTGGTTTGGAGCCTTTGGGACGAAACAGATGGCAGTGCCTTTAAGAGAAAATAGAAGGAGCTGTTAGTGGCCAAATATGTTAAGCTGGAATTCAGGGAACAGTCAGGGCTGCAAATAATAGATTTGGGAGTTGGGAGTCATCTACAAAGAATTTTAATTGAGCCCTTGGTGGAAGGACTGCAATGTAGAGTCACCCAGAAGGCCGAGTGTGAGTTTGTAGACATTGTTAGCAGTATTTATTCACTTACCCTGGCCTGGTAAGAGTAGAAAGGAATTCATATTGTGTTGAGGTTGGTGGAGAGATTCATAAAGGAAACAACCTAGATGTTTCCTGTAGATCTGAGCTAAGACAGAACATAAGAGATCCTAGAGTTAGAATACTGATGAGTGTCGAGTCAGGCTTGGTCATTTAGCGTACAGGATGTGGGAATGATCAATTACCAAATGGCAAGATCTATGACTGATTACCAGATAGTTCCTAAGAATTTTAGGAGCTTTGAAGTTTTTGTTTTTAGCTCTCTTTCTGCCATACATCATGCGAAAGAGATGACTTGGGTTCAAGCCTTGGTTTAGAGCAGTTTAACTAGCCATGAGGTCCTGAATGAGTCAGTTGTCTTTTAAGCCCTGTTTTTTTCAAATATAATGAGAAGATAATAATATTCACCCTGCTTATTTCATGAGGATGTTGCAAAAATCCAGGGTATCATTATAAAAATTGTAGTTTTGTTTGGTGGGAAAACAGTTGATAGCTTTCAAGTTTATTTTCTTTGCTAAATGACTCAGGGACAAAATCAGAAATAGATTTCTAATCTTGGTTTACTACATTTGATTAAATTTAGAATTTTAAATTATTCATAGATCGTTAAAAAAAATACCCCTTTGCTTTTCTCTGATTCCCTTTTGTTTTTCTAACCAAGGTTTATTTTTAAAGTATCTGTTATGTATTTTGGATTTCTGAAGTTTTCTCTTAATTTTCCTTCAGGATTTAATTCTGCTTTCCTAAATGCAGGTTCTTTAGTTCCTAGATTTCTCTGTTTGATAAATTGTCATGTAATATTGTTTTTAGCATGTTGCATTTAGAAAGACTAGAAAAAATACTGTATTTCTTATCACTCATACTCTGGTACTTTACACATAACCTGTGTAGTAATCTCATAGATTTTAGAGACAGTGATCTGTGATTCTGGGATTGATAAATAAGGACAAAGATAGGGGAAAGTGGTGAGTAGGGAAGAAAAGAATGCAAAAATGTGTATTTATTTACAGGTGGTTATTGAAGATAATATGAAGATACTGTGTATAATAGAAAATAGATAAGGAAATACAAATAGTTCACTTGAAATTTGTAATACCTGAAAGTTGAGTCCAAAGCTCAGTGGCTTAACACCAGCACAGAATAATTACAACAAAGTCTGGCTTTCATGCTTAAACAAGTACGATAAGCTGTGCTGACGCCAAATGAACCTCCCGGAGGCTTTGTCAGGATATGGTGCCAGGGTTTCTGTCTTTCATTTTTTGGCTGATTGTTTTGAATGAGATCTTGCTGCTGCTGTTTCCTCAGTTGGGAGAAGCAATTGCTAGAACCTGGCTGGGTGATCCGAATACTGGCTCTGCTCAGTGACCAGGTGGTAGCCTCTGACCAGCCTTTCCACCTGTCCCGGACATCTCTCTTATGCTCCTCCATCTCTTTCCTCTTCTCTACTCTCTAGACACCGAATTTGTCCTTCAAACCCTCTCCCCGCCCCCCACCTGTCTGCTCCCTTTCCAGAGCCTTGTGAGAGAACTTAAAGGCTGCAAATGTGGATAAACCTCTTACCACAAATGGAAATCATCTGTGGTACGCTTGGGGATCTGAAAACCACAGGGTATTCATTCATCCGTTCTTATGTTCAAAAACAAACAAAAAAAATTATTGAGTATCTATTTTGCGCCAGGCACTGTTGTAAGCGTTCGAGCACGGTGGTAAGTCAAAAAGAAAAATGATAGACAAAGCTCCATGCCCTCACGGAGCTTACATTCTAATGGGAGCAGATAGTCAATAAACAATGAGATCATTTCAGATAATGGTCAGGGTAATTGGGGAGATCATAGAGAGTGACTGACGATTGCATCTAGGAAAACATTTGTCAAGTTCTTTTAGGCTGTATAAGTAAAGCATACATTGTAAGTCTGTTGGTAATTCTGTAGTCATATGAATTCAGCTACTGAGAATGGAAAGAAGGCAGAAAGTGGATACACCATAATCTCTCTTTTTGTCTTTCCTCTCTAGGCGGGTAACAGTTCATGTTTGCTTCATAAATGAAGCAGCTTTACACAAATTCATATTCTGTCTGAAGTGACAGACCACGTCTTTATCTGTTCTTGCTACCCATGACTCTCTATGGATGATTCAGAAATTGGAACAAAGTGTTTTACTGTGAAACTGGCACTGAATTAATCATCTATAAAGAAGAACGTGCATGGAGCAGGACTCTATTTTAAGGACCTGGGGGACTTGTAGTCTCATTTAGAACCCGCAGTTGATGTTGGGAGAGAAAGCACGTGTCCCAGACTGCACGCACCATTTTGCATGCCTCCAGAGACGTCTAATTGCTGAAAAGCCACATAGTTTTATTTTCAGTTACAATCTGCAGTTTGTAGTTATCTTGGTCTCTTCAAGTAGAGTTCAGCCTGGATAGTTGAGGTAATAATTTTTCTCAAAGGGATCTAGAAAAATTTTTTAAAAAACAGCAAACTCAATAGCCTCAGCCACTGTACATGTAGAAAGCAGTGGGAAAAGGTGATTGGAGTAGGCATCACATCAGCTTTGTAGCCGCTGATTAATGATATGGGCCTGATCTTGGTCTCTTCCTGACATAAACCATGCTCACCCATATCTCCCTAGACAGATGGACAGAGTTGGCTGGGTCTATCCATGCAGGGGAGCAAGTACTGAATTAGAACAGTGATGCCTTTGCAAAGGGGTGGCTCCCTGAGTCATCATGGGAAGAAGTTATGAACACTAAACCACAGCACAGGCGCTGAGGAGGACATTTGGCACCCCTGGTGAAGTCGGCTTTTTCCCTGGACCACTATAGAGTGTATAAATCATGCTTGCAAAATATATTACAAAGTGTTTATATTCTAAAACTATTATAGAGTTATGCAAAGGGATTTAGGAGAAACTGCTGAATGTATGAAGGTCCCGTTTTTCAATTTTCACATGGGAATGAGTAAAAATATGATAGTATCTAAGGTTAGAGAACCACACCCATGTGCTGACAGGGGTGCTGAAAACTAGGTTACTTGGCTTTTACAAGGATGGAAGGAATCAGGAAACTCTACATATTTATAGTATAATCACCATTATCTGTTTAAATGATCCATTTATTTAAAATCAGGCACTCTGTATCCATTAAGGTTTATGAATTTAAGAAAAAGAGAGATTTATGTAGTTATGCATGTCAGTTTGCTATTTAAAGTGTATGACAGCGTTTGTCATGTTAAGAGTGAATTTGGCAGGAATTCGCAAAATGGACGTTGCGCTTTTTAAAACTAGAGCTTGTAAGACATTATGTGAATTTCCATTGCCTTTTTTTTTTTTATGGTCAAAGGAACATCTGACTAAAGTCAAAGAATGATTTCTTATGGCTTATTTTGATGAAGGTTCTTTTAGTACATCACGAATATACACATAAAGGAATCCAAAGCCTTCCATTATAACTGAATCCTTCTAATATTATTGCCCTGTACTACTACCCTAAGAGGACCATTTTCAACATAGCGATACAAAAGGGCATGGAAAACTAATGCTGGCTTTCCTTTGATTTCAAAAGTCTAAGGATTTCTAGTGTAGTTGGATTTTAGCTTATGCGCAAAGCTAATACAGATACAACTTCAATACATGGCCATTGCTCTCCCTTGTACCAAAGAGCTCAGATGATTTCTATGACCCTTTTTTCTCTAAAGAGCTGTGGTTCTTCAAAGACGAGTCACTTCTCTAAGACACAACCCCAGTGTTTTGGGAAGGTGCATTAACTTATTTAGGCCCTCTGATATCCATCCCATGGTACAATCGATTAGTAATAAAACCAGAGATCAGTTTAATTGCTGAAAGGACCTGTTTCAGTCATATGACACTGATTGTTGGGAAGAAAATAGACATAGATTAATATGAGTTATGTGAATAGGGCATGAGTAGATTGAAAAGAATGATTCTTAAGAGTATGATTTGTTTCACCAATGGTTTTGATTTTCTTAGATATGTGAAAGTGCTGTTTAATGTTAGCTTGAGAGTACAATGAATGTACTTTTGTTTTCAAAGCTAGTAGCTGGGTTTTAACATGCAAGGACATGGTCCTAACCAATAAAATTAAATAAACAAATTCAGCAAATTATGAAATATGGCAGAGTAGGTGAGGGGAGATATATTCTGCCTAATTAAATGTATTGGTTCATTTAGAGTTATATGGATTACCAATTTTGAAAACACTAAAGTTCCATAAAAATGTGTGAACAATGGAAAAATGCTGAACATTATTTTGGATGCTAGCTTCTTGGGCATTAACTGTGTCATATCTGCTTTAAGATTATATATATATATATATATATATATATATATATATATATATATCTTTGCTTTATTTTATCTGATATTTTTATCCAATATCTTCAAAATCAGCCTTTTAAAATGGTCTCAGAAGTTGGCGGATTCTAAATTACACTGAAAGCCTTCCACCTCTTTGGTAGAACACAAGACTATAAAGAAACTAACTGGCTCTGTGATAAACGGTTCCTTCTCAGTGGTATCAAAGTGTTCCTGAATTTTGTATTATAATCAGACGTGTTTACCACACTGCCACTTTTTAATGAGTCAGAGACAAATTGGATTTTTTTAAAAATACAATAATAGAATAAGTAGCCTACCCTCTTAAAAAAGGATTAAGTATGTGAAAAATGAAAAAGTATGTGTTCATATTGAAGTGTTTGTTTTTAGTAAGAAACACATTTCATTGAGTATTAAAGTACTTTGGAGAAACGTTGTGGCATATTTTAGAACTCTAATTCAATTGAAATTAAATTAACAAAAAAACCTATTCAGAATTCATGGATTATTTGTTAATGTTTTTCTTCAGCTAGGTTTTGGTTTCAAAATATAATTCCAATTTAGGGCTTTTAACCATTCCATATCTATGCTTCTTAAACTAAAACATGTTTTTTAAAAAGGCAGTTTGGCATAGCGGGATAGATGGGAAAACTTGTCAGGTGTCCCCACTCTGCCATTAACTGATATTGGTAACTCACCTCCCCTCTTTGGGTCTCATTTTTTTATTTATCTGTATGACAAGCTCGGAGGTCACACCTTAGGTATGAAACCTACTGATATATGACTGACAAAGAAGATAAATAGAGCTGAAACTATCCCATGCAAAATACCCAACCTTTATCTCTGTGAATAAACAATTTGAACATAAAAAGTCATTGCTGTTCTTGTTTGTAATGTAAATAGGATCCATTAGTAAATGTGAAATTCAGTCTCATTTTGGGTGAATTGGATAACCATTTCCACAAGAGGTGGTTTTTTTCCTTTGCTTAAATAAACATTTTTGGATCACCTCTGAAGAAGACCATTATGTTTTGGTCAGGAAGAGATACTCTAAGGTGTGTGTAACATTTGGAAATGCACCACATTAAGCATTTAAATGCTCGTGTTTTATTAAAAGATAAGAGCAGAAAATGTAAGGTGCGCCAAGTTTTTTTGAATGCCGAAAGATAATTTAGAATCCATTAAGTAAGGGGTAATTCATAAAATACATTTTAAATTGGAAAGTGGGATAAGAATTTTAAAGTAAGCCAGTTTTTCTTTGAAACAATATTATATTGAAGTTGGCATTAAAATATAAACATTCTGATTGAAATTCTAATTAGTTCATTTGTGGTATCTGATCACACAATGTACGAGTATGGTGTTGCTGCTTTCCTTTGACAAGTCTGGAAAGCCTTTGTTTGTAAAGATAGAATAATAGAACTTACATTTCCTAACAAGGTATTGTTTTAGAAATAATCCATATTAAAATGGATATTCATGATCCAAAAATGTTTGCTAAGCATTGTAAATTTATTTATAACTGCCATGTCCAACTATATCCTTGTGATGTTTTTTTAAAAAAATATAACTCTTTAAACTAAAACCATAGTATTTTCAGTGACTTGATTTCTGAGCTATAAGACTCACTGAATACAATTTTTCAATCAAAATATCCTATTCTCCTATGTTCTAAGGGTTAATGTGTGATTACAGTGTCCCACTTGCCACTATTTTTTAAATCAATGGACTTGAAAAGTATTCAGATATTTAGATGGATGCACAGATATATTGCTTGTTCAGTCATAGATTGGAGTTTGCATATCGTATTGTATTGTAAATGTATGTCAATGCTATTCTAAATAGTTTTATTATGACTGAAGTTTAATTAAATAAAAAAGGTTGTAAAATGTGATGTGTATGTGTATATACTGTATGTGTACTTTTTAAAATAGGTATATGTCCTGACCTTTTTTATACAGGTTTGAATTTGAAATTACATTATATATACATATACTTTATTGTTCTAAATAAAGAATTTTATGCACTCTCGCAAATTTGCCCTGTCATTTGGTATTTTAAGGTTACCACACATGTTCACAACATGGTTGAGCATTTAAGCTAAAATCAATGTTTTCTATGGAAATTTTGTCATTAATCTAGATTCTGTTGTAATATGTACAGAAGAGGATGGGAAATCATTTTAATTCAATAAATATTTATTGGTCACTAAAATTGGTAAGATATTCAAGAAAGATAAAGTTGAATTGACACAGTTTGAGCTATAGAGGTTTCTCACTTAGTTGTGGGGAAGGTATGAAAACCACTATAGTACGCATAAAGCCACACTAAAGTAACTACCGAAGTACAATACTGAGGTCCAGTTGATGTGCTTAGGGCATCCAGGAAGGAGAAATTGTTACAGACTAGGAAATATCATGGAGAAGTTGGTTTCTAGGCCAACACAAGGATGAAACAACTTTTGAAAGAGGAGAATTATGCCCAGTCTCAACAGCATGCATAATGAAATTTACAGAGATGAGACCACAGCCTTGAATGCCACAACCAGGAGCGCAGAAATCATTCTTAGTGGGCACGGGATGCCATTGTGTGTTTCTAAGAGAAATGGCAAGATCAAACATCATTATGGCTCATGCAGCTTAGACAATAAACAATCATCCTGCTTAACCCCTAGTTGGTATTTGACTCTTGAGACCAAGTCCCCCAGTTTTATGACACCACCCACTGTTTCTTTACAATTTCTTTGCTGACTGTCCCTCTTCAGCTTACCCTTTATATTACAAATTCCCACCAATATAAATATAGACAACTATAATAGCCTACTAACTGATCACACTCCTTCACTACTTAGCCCTTTTTCAATCAGTTTCTCACATTAGAATAACTATATAGAGAGTGAATGGAGACATCTGATGATATTTTTCTAGTTAAAACACTTAATTGGTTTCTCATTATTTTCAGGATAAAACCCAAACTTCTCAACATGGCTTCCAAAGCCCTGCTGATTCCATCTCATAATTTTTTGGGAAGATTGCTAATGGTTTTTCCCTTTAAGCCACAAACAACATGAGGGCTTTAATCAAGAATACTTACATCACTGCAATCCCAAATTTAATACAAATAATAAGGTATGGAATCAAAATAAAATTTGATCAGAATGGGTACTACCTATTGCAACTTTTTATTATAGACATTTTGAAATACACTTGACTTGAATAACATGGGTTTGAACTTCATGGGTCCACCTGTACATGGATTTTTTTTCCAATAAATACAGTTAGCCCTCTGTATCCCTGGATATTCCATCCATAGATTCAATCAACCACGGATTGATTGAAAACATTCTCCATCCACAGTTGGGATTCAGTGGATGCAGAGCCCCAACTATATGCATTGTTCTGACCATGTTATATAAGGGACTTGAGCACCCACAGATTTTGGTATCTGGAAGGGATCCTGGAGCCAATCCCTTGTGGATACCCAGAGACAGCTGTCGTTAAGTTTTTTGGGAGTCAAAGTTATGTGCAGATTTTTGACTGCATGGGGATCAGTGTCCCTGACCCCCAAGTTGTTCGAGGGTTAACTGTATATATCCAAGTATACAGAGTAGTGTAATGAACCCCCATGTAAACATACCTAGCTTTGACCTTACTTAACTCCTGAATTATCTTGTTTTTTCTAAGTCTCCTATCTATACCCCTTATCTACTGCCTCTTTCATATTATTTTTAGGCAAATACCTAAAAATATTTGATCTGTAAATATTTGTATGTATCTCTCTAAATTATAACTTTCAAAACATAACCACAATACCCTTGTCAAACCTAAGTAAAATTAACAATAATTCCTTAATATCAAAGAGTCAATAAGTATTCACATTTTAATTGTCTTACAATGTGCAGTATTGCTCTACAGAAGGGTATAAAATAAAGGTAAGTCTCCTTTCAACACTAAAGTTAGTTACCCTGGACTCTAGGGTAACTAGCTTTAATGTTGAAAGGATGTAAACAATGCTAACAATTTCTTAACCTCCAGATTTTTTTGCATGTGCAAATACACACA